CTCGCCAACTGTTGCCAGCTGCAGCGGCGGCGGCCTGACTCCCCGGTTGGCAGAGGAGTCGGTTTAATCAATTTCATATTTTGACTTTATTTTTGTCTTCCCTCACGTGGTTCGAATAGCTGACTCCTGCCGCCGGGAGCTTGGTAAGAGCTGTTGAGCCTTAAAGTTAAACTTAGAAAAGTATGGAAATCTTTGTAGCCAATGCAAAAGATGGCATATACTGCCACTTTTATTCAACACACAATACTAATCAAGTTGCATTGATTTTCAAGTTTCTAATAAACAGTTTGTTCTCCTTTTTATGGGAGAATAATATCATGCAATAAAAAAAAGTAAAGTTAACAGCAAAAGTAGTGATGAGAAGAAGAAGGAAGAAGAAGAAGAAGAAGAAGAAGAAGAAGAAGAAGAAGAAGAAGAAGAAGAAGAAGAAGAAGAAGAAGAAGAAGAAGAAGAAGAAGAAGAAGAAGAAGAAGAAGAAGAAGAAGAAGAAGAAGAAGAAGAAGAAGAAGAAGAAGAAGAAGAAGAAGAAGAAGAAGAAGAAGAAGAAGAAGAAGAAGAAGAATGTCTTTTGTATCTTAAAAGCACTCTTTACAGAAGTATACATGATATAGCTTTGCCTGGACGGCAGATATAGAAGAGGTAGGTTGCTTTAGCACAACTTCCCTTCCTCCAGTCTTGACTTCTTAGGCATGCTCCGGAAAAGGTGAAATAGTGTGGATCTAAGACCACTACCAACTCTATTTTGTTTTTTTAAGAGGCGGGACATCCAGAAGGACAGAGCCAAATGGAAAATTCGTATAAAATGCCCTTCCTGAGGACACAACATCGGGCCAAGCTGAGGCTCGAAACGTCGAACCCGCAATCTCACGATTACAGGCTCAGAGTAGCCTAACAACGAGGCTACCGAGGCCACCTTGATATGCTCTAATGCAGAGACAAGGTCCTTACGTTTCGAATCAAGGAAGGTGTAAGGGTATGTCTTTCTACTTTACCTGTGTTCTAGCGATATTTTATGTATTGTTGTTATCGTTGTTGTTGC